GCCCGCTCTGGTCCAAACCTTAGTAATACGTATTGGGTACGTATAAAATTCATCCCTACTCGAAGAAACGGCCTCTTTCTCCGCTCTAACCAATAGGGTTTTAAAATTGGAACCCTACCTCCAAAATCTATTCCGGAGCTACAATACTAACTCGGCATCAAATCCAAAACCTATACGACGATTATAATAATTAACTAATTATATTATCTCTTACTAATCCCATCCTATATAAATATATATATATAAATAACCGATAGAGGTTAATCGGCGAAAAATTCTAACGAATAAAACCCCTCCCCTCTACCCTTATACTTTAAAAATAGGATGAAGAACTACCCAACGAAGACTCGGCACTGAAGCGCTGGGTGGGGGGGGGTGGGGTTTTAGAATTAATTAATTAGAAGTAATAAAGTCTACTGGGATGGAATATAACGATAAAAAAAGACGATAAATAACAAAGTAACCAAAATCTCCTCCGTGCGTAACGCGGTAAGGCGGCGCATTAGGCGCGGGGGCTAGGGTTAGGGGTGGAAATAGGGTAGCTAGGGGTTTTCATCCGTTATACGGTTTTTCCTCTAGATTAAGAAAGGAAGTAGTACCGTATACCTACTAGATAAAACTATAGTATAGTTTAGCATAATAAAACAATATATAATATTAGTTCTTATATTTTTACTATAGTTCTATATTATTTTTTGTATTCCTTCTCTGTTTATTTTTCTTTAAACTTATTGTTTACTTCCCGGATCCGTAGAATAAATACGTTATCGATTATATTACCAAATAACTTTAGTTTCCTTCTAAAAAATCTTCTTTAACTATATTAATAAAACGGCTATTTTTATTTTTAATAAATCTATTTATAAAATTCTTATATAAAGAGCCTTTATAAAGATAGGCTTTTAAATTATTAAATTACTCTAATAAATCCTTAATAGACTAATTAAATTTTTAAAGGGTTTGATTAATTTTAGGAACGAGCTTCTTTAATAATTTTATAATTTCTATAGCTTTAATCTAACGTTCTAGGTTAAATTATATTTTATGCTACTGAAGAATATATATCTTCTATATCTCCCGTTAAAATTTATTTAGGATTATTTTGGGATTAATAGGCTAAAGCCCTATATTTTCAAAGCTTTGTATAATATAGCCCTTAGAAAAAGCATTTCCGAATATCCTTTAAAGATATCACAGGGCTAGCCTACAATGTACTTGCACTATACTAACTGCATATATACTATACCAGAGCTAGTACTATAGCCTAAAGCTATACACTTACGCACTAGTTATATATTCTAGTTACGTGCAATCTCATATACGCGCGTACTGATTGGCCTACTTAGGCTCTCGCTTATATAACTAATCCTCTACGCACACTTCTCTTTCTTTCCTTCGTATAATAACGTATATTTTACCCTACCCCTAATAATACCCTTTTACCCCATAATAATTTATTATACTATATTATTACGCTACCTGTATTTATTTAAGGGAAGAACGATTACAATTAATTGCCAATCGTTGTAACGTCGTTAATTTAATATTACCGATTCGAATTAATTAAAATTGGATACTAGAGTAATTAAAATCCTGTATCGCAATTCTTAGCTTCGAATTAAATAATTACTAAACCGAATATTGCTATTAAATAGTTCGTACTCTCTTTTCCCTTCTACCTACCTAGTATATTAATTTAATGATTAATATCTAATATCGTTTTATATACTCCCCTAATAAGTGATATTTTTTTTACTATTATTATAATCGGCGCTCTTGCTACTCTAAACCCAGCTAATTAAAAATATTATTCTGACGTTACTTAAACTTTCGAAGCCTTTAATAATTAAATAATTTAAATCGATATCATTACCAAATACGTATTACTTTTATTTAACTTCCCGTCTTCTAAATACTTTTTAAAGCCTACGACCGCCTCCTCTATAATAATATCGTCGCCGCCTATATTCAAATATAAAAAGTATAAAAAAAGTTCGCTACTTCCAAAATTAAATTCGTTATTGTATTATGTAATATTAAGCGCCGCAATAGTAATATTATTATAATTTAAATTCAAACCTTCCTCTATACGCAAAAAATAATTAAGAATTATAATAAAGCTATTAATAATTTCCATAACAACTACGCTATCGAATTCAAAACTATATATAATATTTACTCTAATATTATTAATACCCTTAATAATAATATTATCGCCTTAAAATAAGAATTCGCTAATTTCCGCGCCAATTCTAAGAAGGCATACAAGAAACAACGTAACAAATATTTAAAATATATTAACGACCTATATTAATATTTTATTACCACCTCCAAGGCCGAATCCGTCCCTAAACCCAAAACCGCTATCCCGTCCCTACCTCCTAAAAATCCTAATAATAATAACCTCTAACGATAATAGCGGCTATAAATCAGTATCGCGTATTATTACATCTCCTACTTTCGACGGTAAAAGTAGTTTTATTGAATATATTATTAAGTATTACGCTTAACGCTTCCGCGTTAAATTAATTTAAATTAATAAACCAAAAGTTTTTATTACCGAACATACTAAATTTTTATTAATCGTACACTTTATTAAAAACCTTCCCTTCGAAGTTATCGAGACTGAATTCAATAAAGTTTTTATTAATAAGCCTACTAAATAAAGTATAACCTTCGAATTGCTTAATAAATTCAATAAAAAATATAATAATATCGATATCTTTATACATTCTTATTATAAATTGGAAAAATTAAAAATAATTAAAGGAATAAAGTAGCAAAAATTTGAAGAAAAATTCACCCTCCTTATTAATTATTACAATTTCGATAATAATATAAAAGTTTACTACTTTCGCTAAAAGATTAATAAGCGGGTCCGTATTACCTTTACTTACTAAAACGATTAGCCTGCTAATAATAAATATAAAGAGTAGTTTACTAAGGCCTACAAGTTAATTAAGAATTCAAAGAATAAAAATTAGTGTAAGAAGAACGCTAATCCTTTTTATAAGATTAGTACTACCGCCGGTATTTCTAACCCCCCTACTTCTAAAGCTAATATTAATTAAAGTGGTAATGCTATAGATTTTAATGCTATATTTACTTCTGATATCTAACTCTCTCGTATAATCGATAATAAAACTTTTAAATTCCGTATAAAAAATGGAATATATATTCGCTATAGTAAGAAAGGCTATTTCTCAGCCGAATACCGCTTTTATATTAATTTTAAAAAGGAAATTAAACCTTTTAACTATAATAAAAATAAAAATAAAAATAAGAATAGTAATAATAATAATAATAACAATAGTAATAATAATAATAATAACAATAGTAATAATAATAGTAATTAATAATCTACTTAGGGTTAATATAGTTATAATCAATAGCGTCCTTATAATGGCGGCGGCTATTAAATTAATATTATAAATACCGTTCCTACTATAAGTATAGTAATAGGCACTCTAATTCCCAGTACCCTTAACCTCGGCGGTTACTACTACCTAATCCCCATTTACTAGCCTAATTTCGTTAGCCCTATTATAAGCGACGAGCATAATTTTATTTAAAGTTAGGGAAATATATAACCTCCTAACTAAATTATATTTAAAAATACTAATTTATAAGACAAGGAGGATGATAGGGGCCTATCCCTATATAATTAAATATTGTAAAGATAAATAAATCTTTAATTAATAATTATTATAAATACTCTAATTTATTAAATCTTTTTATCCTCCTATTCTATAGACTACGTAAATTATACTATTCTACTCTCGTTAATAGCGGCTATACTACTCTTCATTTTATTGACTAATATTTTATTTATTATTACTAACTCTCTTATTTTATATTAACAACCCTTCAATTTCTTTATTTCGCCAACGGCTATACTAAAAGTAATATTACCTACTGTTCTAAATTAATAATATAGGTAAACGTTTATTACGAAATAATCGACCTATTTATCCATAATTTAATAAAATATAACCCTATTATTTAAAGCTATCTTTAATTAATTTATTACGCGCCCGGCATTGATTAGCCTAATAATTCCCTCTCCTTCGGCCCCACTTACGAATAATATAATTATTTCCTTTATAGAATTTCAATTTACCTTCGTTATATTCCGCTAGCTAAATAGTACGTACCTCCTATTAAAGTAGTTAATACGTATCCTACGTACCGGAAACCTTCTTACGAAAAAATCCTTAACGAAGGGGAACAAAAATTATTATAATCGGAAACTATATGTCGCTTTTTAATTTTAACGATTATAAGGAAACTTATTCGTTAATAATTTAATTACTTTAAAAACCGGGTAACTAACCGATTAGGAATTACACCTATTAGCAAAACTTTTAATGATCTAAATTAAATATTTATATTCGCCGCTATACTGTTTTAAGCTAGCCCCCGCATTTCTCTAATTCCTTATTAAGTAGTTAGAGGGGTCCGTATTAATAATATTAATTACTATATACCAATAAAATTCTATAGTATCCCTAAAGGTCCTATCGACCTTAATAATATTAAAGAATTATCCGTACTGAATTTTAATTAACTAACCGAAAAATATAAATTATGAATTATCTATATAATTCGAACTAATATAGAAGAAAATATTAAGAAAATAGTTAAAACGGATAAAGTAAAGGAGGAGGAAAGAGCTTTAAACCCTAGTAACGTCGGTAATAATTGAAAAAAAATATAATAAAAGAAGTATTGTAAGGGAGAAATTAAAAGTATAAGCGATTCTTTAATAATAATTTCTATTGTTAAATCGACGCCCTAGTTAGTAAAGGAAATAAGACCGCGCTACAAGTAGTAAAGGTAATTAACTCTATCTATTTTACTAGTAAAAACGAAAACTTCCCCTACTATAAAAGAATTATTAATAATTACTTTATAATTAATAATATCTTTATTAATAAAATTATATTAAAAAATATTACTAAGTTCTACGAAACGGCTAATAAAACCCCTGAAACTGACGCCTAAATCCAAACGAACCTACCTAAATAATATTAATAGTATATTAATACCTTTCGATAGAAAGGTTTTAAAATCCTGCTCCCAAACTAGTCCTACGATTTAAAACTCGAACTCTGCCTAAGAACCATATACCTAGTAACCTATAACCAACCTTTTAACTCTAACGAATTAAATATTATTAGAAAATAAATCAAAATTAATAAGAAACACTATAATCCTAAAAGGGTAGGTTTAGTTTAGGGTGTTATAGTAAAATAGTTATTATAATAATAGGTATACAAATTAGTATAGCGGATTGGCAAAGAAAAGAGGAAGAGAATATTAGTTCAATTATTTTTTTTAGTCAAGTACTAGTCTATTTATATTGTTACAAAGTTAGAAGGTAGGGTTTTGCCCTATTTGGGCTGCATTTTTGCTGTCCGGTTGGGTTTTGGTATGTCCGGTGGTTTTGGTACCAATTCTGTGGAGTAGAGTTGGGGAACAGACAGGAACTGTCAGCCTTACCAACGGGTAAAACCCTCTTCATTCCTCTAGACTTTTCCTTTTGCGTGGTCCTGCACGAGCGAAGCTCACTTCCCCTCCAAGAGGTCCACGGTGCAGTTCCGTTGCAGCAGAGTTGGGAAAACAGACAGAGCACTGACCTCCAATCCTCAACGGGTACCTTCGGAGTTCCTTCCTATCAAGCTGCGGAGTTAATCTGAGCATACCCGCTATCCCGTTCAGCAACCATCAATTTCGGCGACGACAAGGGCATCACAGCCTCGAAAGGCTCTTTCTCCAAAGACAGACCTCGACGCGCCATCCACTCCCTCCTCTCCACCTCGCAAAACGCCCCTCTTCTTCTTACCCTTCTCACCATTCTTCCTCTCGATGGCATCAGTCCTCCTACCATCAAGGGCATCTCTTCCTCATCTTCATCGTCGAAAAGCGTGAACAGAGCCCATCGAACAAATTCCTCCCACCGAATATTGCACATCTCCCAAGTGCTGCACAATTCTTCTGGTCCCTTGCTCGATTGCCCTCGTGTAACCCAGAAGAATCTGCCAGATAGTTCACAGAGTCGGATGATGCTCCAACAGGCGACTTCAAGGGGTAGTACCCAGGCGAGGTAGTATAGAGCAAATAGGGCGACGAGGAGAATTTTGAGATTCGTGTGAACGGCGGCAAAGAGGAAGAACAGAATGAAGCGGGTCCATTGCTTCTTTTCCCAGTAGTTGTCCGGAATGTGGGAGACGGCTCGGATGTCCCTGTCGTGGTTGAAGCCCATCATGACACCTATGAGTCTGGCAGGCATAGTGATGGAGAGGTGTGGGTAATTTTTTCGAGATGATTGTCTCGGGTGTTAGAATTGTGAAGGGAGAAGATGTTGTTAGATTGGTGTTGGTGGAGGGGAAAGTAGGAAACGAAGGAGAAAACAAGATCAAAAAGATAAATACCCAACACCATCGCTGTCTATCAATGGCGGACCGGCATGTGGCTTTCCATACATTTGCGTCTCCTAAGCAGAGTAAAAAGTGCATGCTTACACAGATGGCTCGGTGGCTGGCGGACCGTGAGATGGTACGGAGGTGCATGTTCGGGCTCCAAAACTCAAAAATGGTCATGAATGAAGAAGGTCTTGAAGTCCGTTGTTTTATTCCGCTCACATGGCTTTGAGGAGCAGCCTAGTAAGCCGGCAAGGTCTTCTAGCACTGACAACAAACACTGATGTCACGAAGCAGGACGTGCAATGCCCAATGGGAACGAAAGACCAGCAAAAAAAAAAAAAAAGAAAGAAAGATGGATCGTAATTCTTTTTGCCAAACAAAACTCGAATGCAGCACGCATTACATAACGAATGTCACGGAGTTGCCCCGTGACAACTGATGTTAATATCTTTCATTGAACCCGAGTTGACAAGAACGAGCAAGGATGGTCGTTGTCGACGATGGACCCACAGTTCAACGACATGGACAAGGGTAGTCCTTACGCGAACGCAAATAAGCTAAATAATGCCAAGATCTGGTGATAGCTTCATTGTCATCATCCGCTTTAGGTATCTAGATGGCATCCACAAGAAAACAAAGCAGTTGTTCATCGATCACCATGGCAAAAATAAAACCAAAAAGTGCAAAAAAAAGAGGACAAGAGCAGGGATCGAACAGCTGACGTCACGACGTAGTGGAAGGGAGTAGAAGAGCCCTATTTGCGTAGCCCGAAGACGCCACCATAGCCGTTACTTCCACTGGAAGAGCCTGGTCTGTTAGGGGCGAGTCCACCATTTAAGGTGAACAAGCCCGCCAGGGGTTCCTGTAGCCCGTGGTTGCGCAACCCCCCACAGGTCGGGTTTTTAGGCTCAGCGCACCACACCGCTCGACCACACTGCCACTTGTCTGTTAGTTGAATACTTGTCAACCTGAGGTCCTTTATCAACCCCCTTCAAAGGCCAGTTTGCTGGCTGGCTGTGCCTTGGCGCCCATTCACCGGCAATCCTGTCCCGGCTGCCCTGGTTTCCGTTTCTCCTCTTCGTTACCACCACAGAAACAAGGAGCGTCGCCTTTTCACCTACGTCAGGTCATCTTGGGTTTTGCACCCGAGCAACACTTCCTGATTTTCCTCGATTCAACCATGCACGAGAGGTTGGTAGGTATGTACTGACTCGATTTCAATCCTATGTACAATGGAAGCTAACACCTCAGGCAGACAGACATAGTCTTCCCATGACCTTGTCGCCGCCACGGCCCTTCCGCATCACCATCACCCATTCCGTTCTTTCCGACCACCCCCAGTCTTTCATCAACGACATCAGAAGAAAGTGCCAGTAAACGCACTCTTAACCGCCTGCGCAACCAACATCTGGATCTGCACACCCGGATGGTAGTTGTTAAACCACAAACAGCTCACGCCGTCCTCATTGAAGCAAGTAGCATCGGGCGCTCCATACGCCGTCGGGTTCTTGATGGCCGTCTCAAAGGGCGCCACGGTATCGACGACTTTGCTGGTGGCATCGCAGTTGACCTCGAGGAAGGCTTCCATCCTGGAGGCCAGGAGGGAGTTGTACTTGGCGATGGCGACCTTTTGGGTAGCGACGGTGGTGGCACCCTCGCCGATCATCAGGGGGGTGTAGTAGATGGCTGTTGTTGCGATGGGTTGTTAGCAACTGACATTGTCTAGGTCCCAGAACGCTGAACGAGAGAAGAAAAGAAAGAAAAGGACTCACGAGCAGCACCCAAAAGCGCGAACGTTCTCACACCACTATCATACAACACCTGCAACCTCCCAAAATAACTATCCATGATCTGTCCATACAACGCATCCGTCTCCGATTCGCCCAACCACCAACTATTGCCCACATCATTGACACCAATCCAGACCGCAACAAGACTATTCTCGCTGTTCCACGGCGCATAAACCGGACGGCTGGCAATGCTCCCGCTGAACTGGGCGACTTGGTCGACGAAGCTCAGCACGGTGGGCGCGAACGGCGTGACGAGCGAGGCGTTGGTGGTGGCTCCACCCGAGGCGAAGTTGTAGGAGAGCGTGAGCGAGGTGTTGAGCTGAGAGGCCAGGAAGCCGACCCAGTTGAGCCCGCCCGAGGCGGTCCAGCCGGGAAGGGCAGGGTTGCCGAGAGGGTTGGAGGACGAGGGCTTGGAGCCGTTGATGTCGAAGCCAGTTTGGGAGTAGGAGTCGCCGAAGGAGATGAAGTATTTGACGGCGGTGGCGGAGGGGGCGGGCACGGAGCTGGAGCTAGTAGACTTGATGCTGGAGCTGGACGACTTGATGGAGGTTGACAAGGTCGTGCTGGCTTTGCTGGTGGTTGTGGGAGTAGCAGAGACGGTGACGAGCTTGGAGCTGGTGGTGACGACCGCGGCGGAGGTCGGCTGAGGGACGCATTGGTCTGGAAGTTGGTGGTCAGTAATTGTGACGGCTTGAGGAACTGAAGAGTGGCCGAATTGGAGGCGTCACCTACAGTAATAGTCGTTATACGACGTGCAAGTAGCTACCGAAGTGCAAGCCGAGCCGGCAGACTGCCATCCAACACCACCACATTGTTCCCACAGGGGAATATCAGCAGCGACAGCTAGCGCTGGGGCTAGAGCCATGAGGCCGAGTTTGAGAGCTGCCATGGTGGATCGTGGAGTTGGTCCTGGGGAGAGAATAGCACGCAGGATGATCGACAAGTCAAAGACGACAAAGACATGAGAAATCATCGTCAAGATATACATTATTGCACATGCATCACAGATCTGGACCGGAACAATGGGTATGGTACTCCTCTCTTTGCTAAGCTGAGATGGTGTAAGATGATTGGCGGAGTAATCAAGAAGACAGGGGTCTGAGTGGACCATTCGACCATCCGGAAATGCAGGAACGCGGAGGGAAAGGTTGCGTTCGACCGCCAACTGGCCAGCCAGGAATCCCTACCCGAACAGCCGCCGTTAGAAGTCTGTGGAGGCTCATCTGGGAATAGAATCGCCTCTTTCCCTGTTTGTGTCTAGCCCATGGGGTTTTATATTGTGTCCCGATGCCAAGGCGTATAGTCTGGTCGAGGTACGATGTGATGCTGCCAGTGATCCTAAACCGTGATATACATAGTGATGTCGAGATGTCGGCGGATGACGACGCAAAATGGATCAAGGGCGACAAGGGCCGGACGAAACGCTCTATTAGGGGTATATGGACGAAAAACAGACAAGGACCTTCCTTATGGGAGCAGAACACCAAACCCCGACACCACGCATCCTTCATCCGTCATCACAAACCATCTCCTTCCATATCGGAAGCAAAAAGAACACCACAGTCGACAACGCCGCAAAGATCGTTCCACCCACCATACTCTGCGCCACAATCTTCCTCTGCAACCTCCTCAGACTCCGTTCCTGCACCTTCAATCTCTTATCAAAGATCATCATCCTGCCTACCCTCTGTCTTACAGACCTCCTCTTTGTCTCCTTCCCTTCCTCATTTTCCTCCTGTCCACCACTCATCTCTACCCCTTCCGTCTTCTCCCCATCGTTCAACCTCTCCCACGGCAACCTCTGTCTCCTCGAGAACAGCAACAAAAAGAAACAGCTACCCCTCAATCCGCACAACACCAAACTCATCCCCACCACCCAAAACCCAAACCCGTCGAAACTCTCCCACCTGCTCCTTGCACCTCTGCCTTCCGTGAACGCCCTAACCAGAACCACCAGGAAGCCCAACGCCAGTGACACGAAACCCAGGAACGTAGCAAAGCAGATGGTCTCAAACGTCCCGTTGCTCACTCCCAGCCTGACGAAGTTGCGATGCGAGCACGAGTGAAGTAAGTGGTAGACATGGTCGGCGATCGGTCGGAGGATTTTCGGGTCCGGTAGCGTGCCGTGGGGTGTAGCAGCAAGTGCGTCGAGAGCAGAGCGGCGGAGGGACATGGGGAGGTTGAGTTCCTTTGGTGACGAAGGCAAGAGGAAGAGGGTGATGATCGTTTGGATTTCGGAAGGGGGGATGGGGCCCGGTTGAGGGGCGAGAAGGCCGAGGGTGGTGGACTTGTTGGCCGGGTCGGAAGGGTCGGGGGTCGGGTCGCTCGCGAGGACGGCGGTTCGGCTGTTGTTGAAGTTGTTGAAGAAGGTTGTCGTCGGGAACGCGAGGTTGGATGATGGGGCGCAGGGACCGCATGGACGGCAGGATGGGTGGGCGACGCTGGCGGCGCAAGGGGCGGAGGCGGCGATCAGCAAGGATATGCGACGGAGGGTTTCTCCCGCTGTTGTGGCTGTTGTTTGTTAGCAATTGGCCGAGTTCCGAAACTAACGACCCGGACTCCTGTCAAGTGCACTGTGCGGAGGATCATGTTTGTTCACATGGCGCTTAACCTACCCTTCTCAGAGTCTTCGTCTCCTTCGCCATCACTGGGCTGGTAGTGGCTCTTCTTGAAGACAGACGACGATACGCTTCCGCTTTCTGACGCCGTCTTGGCCAGGCCGTCGGAGTCTTTCTCGTAGCGGTAGGCAAGACCTGTGCTGTAGGACTCTTCGTAGTTCTTGAACCAGATATAGAACTCGAGATTCTCGGATGAAAACTCAATGTACTTGAGATACATGTAAAAGTCGTATAGTGACATTGGACTACCTGTCAATACCACCTTGTCAGCATATCATCCACCTGATGCAACTCTTGGATGTCCACTTACATGTCTTGTTTTGAAGTATACGCTCGAGTCGTAGTCGACTCGGTATCATTCCCTCCCTTCCCGCATATGGACTTGGTGACCTCTTTCCAGAGCTGGCATTGTTGGCGTATTCCTTGAAGTTCCTATACTCCGGCTTTTTGTACCAGACCAGCCATTCCGGAAACTGCATGATCGACCCGGATAATCGCTATATCTCCAACATGAATCGTCCCGCGGTTTTAGTTCTCTGGCCGTGAAGGAAAGAGATAGATGAATGGGAATCAAGGATTTGGAAGTAAAAAAAGGTCCTGGGGGTTATGGGGGCACGAACTAGCTTTGTATCAGGCTCCTTACACAGACAACAGTAGGTCAGCAGGCTTGCTTGGTTGGTTAGTTCAGCCAGCTAGGCAAAGGGCGGAATAGCACCGTGCTTTGACCTTGCTTGGTTTAATGGCTTGGACCACACCACCGCCATGCTGGAAACCTAAAACAGACAAGTACGTAGATCGGGTTAGGCAGTATCCGGGCGTCCAGACAAAGGGCGGACGCCACCAGGTACTCCCGTTGGTTGATGGTGTTGACGTTCTCTCGAAGGTATTCGCGAAGAACAAGCAAGATGAGGCAGGGCCAAGCTGACCACAAGAGCTCTGTTAACATCAGTTCAGCTGCTCCACACCAGACGTTCGTTAGCGAAGACTTGATCGTCTAGACAAGGGTGGAGGGCGCCACGCGACGTATGTTCGGACCGTCATTCAATAAGAACATGTGGCTCGCCATGCCTTTTACCCGTTGCATGCCAGCCCTTGCTTGTTTGCAACTCGCCCAGTAAAATGTTTGCGTGGCCCCCAAACCAGCCGTGTTCATCCCAATCTGAGGCTCATCCCACATCGTTCATTTTACATTCTTGCGGTTTGCCAGGTGGTTGGCTCTCCAGTGCTCCCTTACAGTGGTCGGTACACGTGTAGGCATCCTCTTTGCTTCTGCAATTTGCCGATCACCTCGCTTTTCTCGCTGGGCCAACACACCGGAATCTCACCGAATCCAGCATGGCCAAGACAGGACGATCAGGATCCATGCGCAGAAAGTCGACCTATCAGGGAGCATGGTGGCGTTATTGGTTTAACTTGAGCGATAATTCCCTGCATGATGGCACGAATTTGGTGTCCATGTGGGATGCCGAGATCGAAACGAGGTGGAGGAGCTGAACAGAAGCTATCGATGCTCTGGGACTTAGCCAGGGGTTTTCGCTTCTCGACAACATCCATGCCTGTAGGGCCAGTAGAGTCCACGCTGCCCTAGAAGACGACGCTTTGACATTCGGAATCGCTTAATCGGTTGTCGGGAGGAATGAGGGTGGATATTGACAGGTCAGGTCAAGGGAACTGAAAGGGAAGACCGTTGATCAGCTCGGAACCATTACGGTGGTGGCTTAAAGGCTTCGGAATGGAAAGAGGAATACGCTAACCGATATCTGATGGCGCCAGCGCTTTGCTTTGTCTCGGCACGGAGAATTGTTCCGTGTGTTTGTCTCACTTCATTGTTGCTTTTCTTTTCATCGACAATATCTTTCAACGTCTTTCTCTGTTCCGTCATCTCCGTCTTTGTTTCTGTTCAATACCTTTTTCTTAGCGTATGCAAAACAGTCAAGTGCTCTCACCTACCATCACCGTACAGCCGAAGCTCCCCGACTTACTCAGATTAGCAGCATAGCTGTTTGACCAGGACAGCAGATGGGGCTCAACTCACCTAGAACCACAGCATTCTCCAAGCTCGGAAAATGGTAATTGGAACCAAAAAAACCGGGAACCTGCGAGGTCTCATGGACACCGGTGGGTGAAGATAGCCTTGCTCGCGAAGGGGAGGACTGCGCCGTTTCTAGGCCTGACAAGTAGATCCCACAGATCGCAAAAGGAACCTCGTCGGTACGAAACTGAATGGTTGGTTCCCATATCAGCGGCAGCAGATGCCCAGAAAGACTAGAGAAGAAATGGAAGGTTGTCCTGCTGCAAGATGCGCCGAATAGATGTCGAAATTCCAGGAGTTGTAGACGCCAGGACAGACCCATTAGCCTCTGCCTCGGTCATTGAAAGAAACTAAGGCAAAGAATGGGCAAACGGGAGCAGAGTCGAGTCGAGGAAATGCCCCGCCCGAATGGGAATGAATGAAGTACTTTGGACTAGGTCGTTCTTTCCTCCATATCTTGCCAAGATAAGAATTTGGGACCACAACAGGAAAGAACTCCCCAAGCAACACCTGCACCAAAATTCGCGCCTGGAGTCCTGGAGATCATCAACCTGGCGTATGTTGACTCCACGCAGGGCTTTTGCTTTTGCAGCTTGATTGACACTACAACTCTTGTTGGGAATTCTTGCCCAAGCGTATTCATCCTTCTCGGCAGCGGAATCGTTAAAGGGGAAGATGCTAAGGCTGCAGAAGAAAAGATGATGCGTAACCGGTGTCATCATTGCGTTCCTCCATCTTTTCGTTCCGTGCTCGTCTATCCGATACATCTGGTCTTGTGAAAGATCTAATCGCAAACATGGATTAGACGGACGTACCACCGATTCTGCAACACATCGTGCTGGGATTGATGCAAGATGGCGTTATAGCAAACATGTGATTAACCCGTGGAATCAGAGGTTTGTTGAACAGCGATTGGTAGAATAAGCACAGTCTGGCTCGGAAGACGGCCGGTATCTCCATGAACTTCAAGTACTCCCTTGATTCCTTTCAACATCCATGTTTTTCTCGTCGCAAGTAATGTGTGAAGCCTGGACATCTCCTACTCTCTCCTTATGCCCAACGGCATCCGTCCATTAAAAAGATGGTGGTGTAGCGCATCCTGCCATTGCTTCTCAAAGCTCCAAGCTTTCACTTGATAAGAAAGCAAGCAACCAACAGCACCTCGCAGATCCAGCGTCGACCCGGTTTCGCCAGTGCTACCTAGGAAACGACGTTCCAAGATGGAGCACAGGAAAGGCAAAACCATCGTGCCCACCATGTGGGGCACCATGAACCTTTTCCCGGTGTTGGCACTTGTCTTTATCGTCCTCAGGCTTTATTGCAGGCGTTGGCTTAAGAAGGCAACGACTGGTTATCTGGATGATTATGTGTTGATTTTCTCCTGGGTGCGTAACGATCGTTATAACCACCCACCCGACGAAGCTAACGTCAAATTCTTGAAGATCCTGATGGTCATAACCTCCACCATAGGTCTCATGCTTGCCAAGCACGGCGTTGGCACAGCCATCGTCGAGGGAGATGAGATCATAGTCGAACCAGAGGTGATGCACGCTCTTCTTTTCTGGACCGCAAACCTGTTACTCTTCGGCATCAACGCGATCGCTTTCTCCAAAGTGTCTTGGTTCATCACCCTCATTCGCCTCGTCACCAATCGTTGGCAAAAGGTCGTGCTCTGGGTCCTCATGGTGTTCAGCACCGCCGCCCTGTTTGCCGCTTCCACTTTGGGGTACTACCAATGCCATTTCGAGCCCGATGGGACCGGGAGCAAAAAGAAAAGGTGTCTGAATAACAGGTTTGCCATCATATTCAGCTTCGTGGTCGCCATTTACTCGACTGTCCTGGTAAGAAACTTGTCATGCGGCCCCTGACCCTCCATGCTGCAAGCTCTTTTTGGTGCTAATAGCGGAACCCTCTAGGAATTTGCTTTGTCGGCCGTTCCCGCCTATGTCGTTTGGAAGTTGCCACTCAAGCGGACCACCAAGATCGGCATCGTCTGTGCCACGAGCGTGGGCTTTGTGTGAGTAGCGTAAATTGCCTTGATGGAACGACTGAATGCTGATATTTCCCGTAGGTCGGCGATGATGGGAGCCTTGAGAACGAAGGCATATTATGATCACCTGTTTCCACTGGGAAAGTTACCCGAAATGTATTCCCTAGGATGTGTCATCATGTTTGCGGTCCTCGAAGTGTGCACCACAATCATAGCCGCTAGCATCCCCTTCCTTCGTCCGCTGGTAAAGAAGATGGCTAAAGCCTATGACGAGGACGACTTGTCGTGGCCATAGGTGTCTTGTCTGGGGAACGAAGGAACGACAAGAGGTTTAATCAGTTCGGAACATCGACTTCAGGTATCATCCTGTCAAGAAACTCACGCGGGACGGTGGCCTCGGACGCAGGACTCATGCTGAAGCAATTCTTGGACCTTTTTAGCACTTGGCAGTGTCTGCGCCACTATCTTTTGGGCAGGATATGCCTAGGTACTGTATCGGTATGTACTGTAGCAGTACGGCCCCGACCACGATCAAGGCTACAACGCAGATGTCTGCAGGCGGGCAGTGTGGCGGCGAACTGTTGGTGCGTGACCGGGTCGTCAACGGCGACTTCTGCTGGTTGTTTGCCCATCAAAATGGCAATGGGGTCGCGCAGCTGGTTGAATGGCACAGGGTGATGCGGACGAGCGGGGCGGCGTGTGATTTCGAGTTTTGGAAAGATTTATCAAGGTGTCGGTGTCAAGGAGAGACGTTATCGATGGGATGAAGTGGGAGAGAAGAAGATGGTCCAGGCACAAAGTGGAACAGTCCGGGGAAGTGGTTCCAAATTGGCATCATGCTCGGAGGGGAGGCTGAGACACTGATGGGGGGTGGGGGACGGGCGGGAACGGAAAGGGCCGAAAAAGACCCAAGCCACAGGGACCTCGGCCCTATAACTTTCCCGCTATAGGAACCTACACCCGACCTCATCGCATCGCCAGAGATATCATACCCGTTGGGGAGAGTGGAGCAGTTCCTGTCTGTTCCCCAACTCTGCTAGGCAGAGTTGCCGTACTGCATGGGGGTGTGCGCAGGAAACAGTAAATTTAGCGTAAAATGACAGTTGAAATTTTCAAACGTTTACCAGCGCGCCAAGGATTGAACAACCGTTAGTAAAAATGTAAACGTTTGCAGTCCGAGTCGTTTTGGCATGGCCAAACGTCTAAAAATTATCCCAAGGCCTTATTCTATAGTACAAAAGGATGGTATACCTTTTTGGTGCTTCTTTTTCTTTTTCTTCTTTTTTTTCTTCTTAGTGATGCATCTTCTTGGTGTTCTTGGTGATGCATCTTCTTGGTGTTCACTTGGTGTTACACTTTAGTGTTTAGACTCAACTTTCAAATTGGGATATTACGAAAAATATCATACGGTTAGGATTCGAATGGAGGATTTGGGTAAAAGATCAATTTCTATCTGCGCGCGAGACTACTTAGCTAAAAGACTATTACTATCTAATCAAAGAAAGTATTCGAAGGTAAAGTTTATAAATAAGAAAGTACTCCCTCTTTTAACTCTTAGCTTAGGATTTTTGAGGTAGATGTTTAACCCTAAACGTCTAAGAATTCCCAAACGTTTGGCCATATCAACCGATATTTTACCGTTGGGTCTACTTAAACGTCTAATATAGCTAACGTTAATATTTTATAACGTTTAACAGCATTTTATAGTAAACTTACAATAATTTAAGTTTCAACTGTCGAATAACTGTTGGCTAAACCCCCCCCCCTTTTAGTACGGTGGTCACAAAACCACCGGACATTATAAAACCCCACCGGATAGCAAAAATCGGGTATTTTCTATAGGGATTTTCTATAGTATTTAATTATACAACAACCAATAGTCCAAATATGACCAAAACTTGTATATAGGTTCATAAGTAGTTATATAACGTAAATATGATTTTTACTATGTCTTCCTACTTAAGCTACAAGTTTTACTTCCATTTTATGATAAGTACAAAAATTAGGTATTTATATTAAAAATTCTATATAATTCCAAGATGCGTGCAACCTTTTATTGTTTTAGTATTAGTATACAAATTATAGCTGCTATATTATATAGTTAACCTATAATATACAATAGAGTAAAAATATTTTCTAAATAATTATTGAATTTAATTATTCATTATTTATTAAATACAACGTTGAATAATTAATTTAATATACGTGTTCAAATTACATAAAATATTATATTAATACTATTAAATTTACTAATGATTCATGGATATACTCAAGTAATATATAGTATGTATTCTAGTTTGTTATTTTAATTTAATTACTATTTCTATTAATTAAAATTAAATTATAATTGAATATAAATTAATCAAGTATAGCTATTTTATTAGAACTACATATTTATATTATAAGAATACTATAGAATATTATGAGTAATATTACACTATATTTAGTAAGTCATTAATAGTTTTACATCTATTAAAACCTTTTATTTTGTTTAATATATATTTTAAATAAATCTTTTTACTTTTTTTAGAGCTTATTATATTTATATTAACTTCAAGGATAACGGAGATATTTACAACTTTATATTTATATTAACTACTTTTTTTGTAATCAAATTGTTTACGTTACTTTATTTCAAAATTATCTTATATATGTTAATATTAATTATTAATTTTAAATTAATTACTTCACTTACTTTTTAATATAACTAATTACTATACCTTATTTAAAAGGGTTATTCTATATATATTAATCCTATTTTATAATTTCGAATATAATTATTATAAAGGGTTAAATAGAATTAATATAAATATTAATTAAAAAAATTTAATAAGGTTTTATAAAGACAATAAGAGAAAAAGAAGTATTTATAAACTAAACCCAATGAATTATCCTTTAAAACGGATATATATCTTTATATATATAGGTAAATAAATAACTAATAGATTGAATTGTTTGATTAATTGTATTTTATACATTAATTAAGGGTTTCCTTAATATATATTATTCAATAATTTAATTACGGTTATTACTTCTATAATAATTATTTTTATTTATTTTATATTTAAATTAACTACGTTATTGTGAAAGCGTGATCCTACGAGAGATTCGACTACAAGACTAGGAGCCACAAATCAAAGTAATATTAAGTGTAAGGAGGAAAAGGAAAGTAGTCAAAGGAAGGCATTATAGTTCTGGATATATAAGTCAAAACTGCCAGTCGTCGCCGCCTTCCTAATCCGTACGTCTTATCGATAAGAATATAAGCCTCATTCTATCTGATGTACTATAGTACCCTATACTTAGCACCCTATTGCGTAGTAGCTAGTGCTCTGGTAACCTGTCCAGCTATGCCATGATAGTTATCTTTTATAGAAGGATTATATTATATATATAAATCGTACCTTTTAAAGTTAAATTAATTATTTTAGTTATTTTAAAAATAAACTTTTTATTTAACTTTATCTTATATAAAAAGGTTTATTTTCTTTATAATATTTACATTATATATATTAACCTTATTTATCGATTTTGAATTATTTATTTTATTTATTCTATATTTAAAGTAATAATTTTACTACTTTATTATTCTATTTATATATAAATGATACCTATTACCTTCGTTGAATCCAAATTAACTTAATTACTTACTCTTTAAACTTACTACTTCATTACCTTGATCTTTTATTATTTCATTATTTTATACTTTTATTACTATATTTTTATATTAATTATCCTTCCCATTTTTATATATAAAAGATTCACTTCTTTACTTTATATTAAAATTAATTACTTGATTATTATAAAATTAATATTATAAACTTTATTATACGTAATTCTATCATAGTTTACTACTATAATTAATTATATATTTATATAATTTAAAGATATTCCTTAAAATTACTATAACCGAATTAATTATAGTACTTTATAATAAAATACCTTATTTAAAAATAAAATTTTTGAAAATAATTTACGAATGTTTCCTTTATCCTTTATATAATTATATATTTTTATATTAGGACTATATCCTTTATTTAGAATATTAATTATATGATTACTTTATTTATATATTAATTTTAATTATTATTTTTATATAATGTAAAGTAATTTGCTTATTATAAGGGTTCTATTAAGTAGGTACGGTAGTAGTCCTAAAAAGAGCTTATAATAATTAATAAAGAGGAAAAGGTCTAAGCTAATCTAGTACTTAAATTAGGTATCATTAAGTATATACTAGGTAATAATGTATAGAATATACTAAAAAGAATACTAAGGCTATATAGTGGTAAGTAAGCCCGCGGTAAGTAAGCCCGTAGTAAGTATAGGTTTAGCTTATACGAAGTATAAATTAAGCAAATACCTTTAACCGTTAGCCCCGTAATATTTATATTATATTAAAATTAATTACTTTATAATGTATATATTGTGCTATTCTATTTATATATTAACTACTATTATTACGTTAATATAAAATAAATTAATTCAATTACATTATATTAAATATTTGTCTAATATTGAATTTAATTACCGTACTATTATCATTATTGTTTAAATTATTTAAATTTATTAAAGGGTATAATAACTAAAATAGATTCAATAGCTATAAGTTATTTTTGGAATTCTTTTATATAATCAAATTTCGTAAGAATTCTAAAATTATAATTTAAACCGTTAGCTTATACTTTCCTTATATTAATAGTCGGAGGGTATATTAAGAGGAAAAATCCAAACGACTACGTTAAATATAATATTTAATTAAAGTAAATATAAATAGTTAAAATAAATAAATACTAATAATTATATACAAGGTTTTCCAAAAGATTTAATTAAAATAAGTATTTCAAATGTTAAATATTAGAAGCGATTATTTAAGATTACAAAATATATCGTTTATAAGTTTTAATGAAAAAGTTTATATAAACGGTTAAATATTATAAGGTAAAATTTTAAATTATCGTAAATATTATATAAAAAGTTAAATACTATAATATAATACATAAAATTATATTTAAAATTACTTAAAAAGTTTTTAATTAATCTCATAAGCAGACTATTTAAAAAACTTTTAAATATTCTTTTATAAAGTAGAATATTAATAGTTTAATATATATATTACATAATAATTATATATATATAACAAATATGCAAGTTAAGATCATATTATATTAATATAAGAGATATTATAATAAAAATATGTAATATTTTTATATACCCTATATTTTTAATTAGATATATCCAATTATATTCGAATATATATTCGTAATTAAAATTCTATTTTATATATAATATTAACCTTTATATAAAGTATAAAAATCATCTATATTATATTAAATAATTTAAAATATAATCGTAACGTACGTAGCGTACGTAGTATATATAAATAAATAAGATAAAGAACGCCCTTTATAAAATAAAAGATTCCTTTATTATTTATTAATTTTACAAATATTTTAATTTCGAAAATAAATTCATTTATTTATTTCTAATTTATAAAAATAAATAAAGTATTTTCAAAATGTTTCAAATATAAAGGATTTAACTATATAATTGGTTTCCTAACTATATAACTATACCGCCTAAAAGATTATAAGAGGAAAAAATTATTCGAAGGAAAAAGGGTTTTAAAATAATTAAATATTATTTATGGATATTTCTACTAATTTATAATATTTTTATACAAATTATATATTATTCTCTTTGTTATTAACTCCTTTATATATTTATAATATTTATTCCTTCGAAATTCTATTAAATAATCCTATTTCTTAATATTAGAAAATTAAATTCAATTTTACTAATTATTTCCGGTTAAGAACTAATATGGGAGGTTAATATAGAGGGTTACGTAATTAGGATAAGGCTTCTATATATTACAATATAATAGGAAAAACGTAATATAGAAATAAAAGAAGAAGTTAATATAAAAGGAAGGAGGAGGCTATCCTAGCTAGCCGTTTATATAAAAAGAATATACTATATAGGCCTAGGGTATGGGCTATAGAGTGGCTAAAGCTCTAAGTGCTAAGATTAAACCTAGTATAGGCGTCTCTATAATAGACTAGCTAATTTGGGTTGTTATTACTAGACTAAGCTATAATATAGGAAAGATATAAAAATCTAGGCATTTCCCTATTAATAACTCTATAGTTTTATATATAATATTTTCGCGGCTATTAGGTAAATATTTAAATACGATTTTATAAATATTCTAAAGAACAATAGGTTTAGTTTATAAAGTTTATTATTATAAAATTGTAATTTATAAAACTAATAAAAATTTATATCCAATTTTTAAATTTTATTAATATATATAAATTTCTATTTAATACCTTTTTTATAAATTCATTATTAGGGTTCAATTTTAATTCCTTTCCGTACTTATCCTATTTTTCTAAGTATTTTATTATATTTAAAAATATATACAATTATATGTTTCAAATCAAAATCTATTTAAATTATCTTTTCTTAAATTCTTTATAGAGTTAGCATTATTAGAGTACGGTATATATAATAAGATAAAGTAGATCTATTAAGTAAAGAAGTATTAAATAAAAGTATAATTTTAATAATTAGGCCCAATTCGATAGAATTATAAGGTTTCAAACTTGGTGAGAAACGCTACAGTTTTAAAATAAGGTATTTAGTTCTATAACTTGTAGTAGGCTGGTTATTATAGTAGGATACGTGCAAGTAGGTTCTTTAGATTGAGAAAGAAGAAGGGAATCAATAGAAGGTCAAATCAAATTTTTTAGTTAAGGTTTAGTAGACTTATAGTACTACAAAGTTGAAAGGTAGAGGTTTAGCCTTTTCGGGGCTGCATTTTGCTGTCCGGTTGGGTTTTGTGATGTCCGGTGGTTTTGTGACCAACTCTGTGTAGCAGAGTTGGGGAACAGACAGGAACTGCTCCACTCTCCCTAACGGGTAATAACCATTCTGCCGGTTCCGTCTTGATGGATGCTTAAACAAGCAAGAATGGGCATCCTCAATATCTCCCGCTCATCCGTTTGTACTATCAAACGCTTTACGTGACGTGCATTGTCGGGCATGATCCAAGAACTAGTGCAGTATTAGTCGTTACCTGAGAAAGGCACTAGCACTAACAGAACTAACGGCTAATTCCTGCTCGCCCTGTTAGTTCACAAGCCAATAGGATGGATCATGATGTTACATGCAGATGTGTTCCCCCCACAAACAGGCTTCGAATGCTCTAGATAGATTCCTCCAACCAATCGACCCCTCTTCATCGCGTCTTTTCAACGCGTCTTGAACATAAAAGACAGCCCTGTGTTCTCTGACTCTTTGTCGTCAGGGCAACGCTTCTGTCTCCTTTCATCTGGTAACGGAGGCTCGGACATCATGGCCGACCATCAGCCAACACAAGCACCTCCAGTCGAGGGGAATAGCAACTCTGGTCCAGCCCTCCAAACCAACAACGTCCCCTCCGCTAGACCCCCAACAGATGGCACCGAATATAGAATATAGTCAGGCCGACGATGGGTCCGATCGAGACAGCGTAACAAGTGAGCTGAGCACGCAGGACTATACGGTCAGCCTCAAGGATGATCTACTCAAGGCTCTCGATAATGTCAAAGTCGCCGGTTCCTTTGCTTCTTTCCGCAAGCTCCAACATAGACCTCCTGCCGGTCTTCACGTCGATGGCGTTGGCGACATCTCTATGCCTCTTGGCGAGACCCAAGCCCGCCAGTTAATTGCAAAAGCACGCCAGGCTCCCTACGGCAGGGGAAGCGAGACCATCGTCGATACAAGCGTTCGAAATACCTGGGAACTCGATGCAGCCCAGTTCACCTTCAACAACCAAAGGTGGCCGGGCTATATCCAGTCTGTGTGTGCCAAAGTGGCCGCCGACCTAGGCATCAAGTCGCCTATCCGGGCAGAGATATACAAGATGCTCATCTATGAGCGCGGTGCCATGTTCAAAAGCCATACCGATACCGAGAAAATCCCCGGCCAGTTCGGCACCCTTGTCATCGCTCTCCCCTCTGCCCACAAAGGCGGAGACGTGGTGGTCAAACATTGCGGCGAGACAAAAACATTCAAGACCTCGGAATATAGGCAGTCCTTTATCTGCTGGTACTCTGATGTACACCACAAGGTGTGCCCTGTCGAATCCGGATATCGATGGGTATTGACCTACAACCTCGCTCTGAATCCGAATGCCGTTCGCCCTTCAGCCGGTCTTGTACGCTCCGAGACCAAGGCTCTCCGCCACACCCTGCGCAAATGGCTCCAGGAACCCGAAGAGTCGCGGCAGAATGGCCTTTATTATGTCCTGGACCACGACTACACCGAAGCAAGCATCAACCTGAACAGCCTAAAGACGCGTGACTTGGCACTTGGCCAGGTCCTGAACAACGTGTCCAAAGAACTCGACTTTGAAGTCTTCTTTGCTCTTCTAGAAAAGGAAGAGTTTGGAGAGACTGAGATAGACCATGATGAATATGACAGGGGCTCTCGGTATCGCGGGTGGGGTGAAGACAGTGAGGAGGAGGAGGAGGAGGAGGAATCCTACCATCATCTGGAAGAGATTCTTGATGTCAAATACCAGGTCAAGACAGTTCGAGACATGCATGGTAGGCCAGTTGTCGACGGTCTAGCACTCTACGCAGAGAAGGACATCCTTCAAAACGGCGAGGATGCGTACGACGATGTGTTCAGCGGTGTTGAACCCGAGGAGGAGTACGAGGGCTACATGGGCAACTTTGTAAGTACATCTTGCCCTTTCGGTCTAGAACACAGCGAAGCCAATACTAACGTACCTACTCAACAGGGTCCGAGCGCGACACATTGGTACCGAATCACTGTAGGCATTCTGTCACTTTCATATCTTCCTCTCGCTTCCTTAAATGTTCCCATCACTAACTGCCCTCTTTCCAAGGCTCTCCTCCTTGTCCCATCCGCCTCGATTTTCGAATTCTTCAGCAGTAATGCCCAAAGCCTTTTTTCAAGTAACAATCTCCGATCCTTGATCAGTTATTGTGCCAGGTCAAGCATGCGCTATATGGAGTCGGATGAACACCGTGCAACGCTCTCGTTTCGGGCCGTGACGAAACTCTGCGGAAGCTTTTGGTATCCATCCAATGAACGCCTCGGACATAGGTCGAAACCAAAAGCAATCGATGGGAACGACCTTGTGAATATTCTCACGGCTGCACTTGAGCTGGGAGAATATGATTTCTTCGAGGAGGCCTGTATGATGCACGGAGATGTACTTCCGACTTCTTTTTTCACATGGGCCAAGCAGTGGCTCAAGGAGTCAACATCGGATTCGGACTTCGACGACATCATGGAACAAGGGTACGTTTTGTGCCATCAAGATCATATATGGATGATGAACACAAACTAACAATGATACACCGTTAGGTTGACTTACGTTGTCGAGGCATATCCCTTTCTGCCTGAGCAGTTAGCAGCCCTTACGAACCTCACCCCGAAGCCCGAAGAGGCGGGCTGGTCCGCCAGCCTACGTGATAAAATATCCACGTGGGCGCACGACAAGCTCAAGAATTGCCTCGAAGACTCTTTCAAGGAGCAGGAACTCGGTAGTGACGACGGGAAAACCATGATCGAAATGGCTTTAATCGCTCCGGATCCATCGCGCTTCCTCACTGCTAGGTATGTCTTTCTCCTCAATGTCATGGTGAATCTATGGATATAACCTAACCCTCCCCAAGCGTAGTTCTAATGCTGGATCCAGCGCGTCATTCAATAGCCTCCTTCATCGCTTTTTTGGCCCGGCTGTGGAAGGAAGGCTCAACCGGCGCCATTTCTCGTGACGATTGCAATGCCATTTACAGGACTATAGCCAAGCGGTTTCTTGCCTCAGCAGACTTCTCCAAGGCAACATCCGAAGGTGGGATCAAACTTGAGCATGGAAACAAGCGGCAACGGACCAGCTATCACGGCGGCAACGCGAATCCTACGACGTAACAACTCCGAACCACAATCACCTTCGATGAACTCGTCAACTTCTACGACACGCTAGTCAAGATCAGCACCCCAGACGACGACTTGGCCACAAAATTCATAACCAAGCTGAACGACGCTGTCCCCCGTCTACCCGTCGACCACATGCACGAACTCTGGCTTCCCTTCCTCTGTTATCTCATTCCGGTCCTGACCGCCAACGCCATCCTTCTCACCACCCCCGTGTACCAATTCCTCTACCGCTCCACGCTCACTCGCTACATCAAGAAATTCGTCGGCAAGCAGCCCGTCCAGTCCACCTCACTGGTCCGCCCGCGTGTCAACTGCTCCTCCCCCTTCTGCATCGACTGCAATGACCTCAACGACTTCCTAGAAAGCCCCACCGAGCGCGTCAACCGCTTCAAAGTCAACAAAGAACGCCGGCACCATCTGCACCAGATGCTCGACCACCACAACATCGACTGCACGCACGTGTCTGAATGCAACTCGACCCCGTACACGTTGGTGGTGACCAAGACGTTTAAGCAGCAGGAGCAGTTGATGAAGGAGTGGAAAGAGAGGAAGGGGTACGCGGAGAAGAGGTTCCGGGACTTTCAGACGCACTCGCCGCTTACGCCGGAGTTGAGGGTCTTGTTGGGTGACCAGTTTGATAGGATCATGGGCATGGAGGATACATACCCCAACTCCGCGGTAGCCAGACGCACAGCACCGGCACCGGGACCGGCATCAAGACCTTTGGCGTCTGCATCGGGGCATGTCACGGGTAGATCTAGAGCGGGTGCTTCTGGGTCGAGTCGCTACACGCCCGCTCCTGTGGCAGGTGTGAGGAGATCTCGGAGCATAAGGTTCGGGGACGGGGTGGAGATTATTGACCTGACAGATGATTGATGATATGTGTAATTTGGTATAGCTGACAGATGTTTGGTGTATAATATGTTGACATACTGTCTGGTTTTGGATAGGGATGGGGTCATGGCGTATATTGTTTACTTTTTGGTAGGAGGCTACGTGGGTAAGTGATGGATATATGGACACTGCTGAGGACTTGGATGGTAGGTTCCACTTGGATTAGGCTACCATTACGGGGAAAGCTCGCTGCCCGTTAGCCAATGCCGCCACGTTTGGCAAATCTCTTACCAGTAAGAATTAGCGGCAGTAGTTGCGACTCGGGAAGCGAATGCGCTAACGAAAGGCCTATAAAATGGCCTGGACCCCGTTCAAATGATTCCGTTTTCTCGTGTAGGTTTCCGCCGACTTGAATCTCCGATTAAACACTCTCCCTGATCGTTCTCTTAAAAAGTTACAATACGACATCCTGGAACTGACGACCCAAACCAAGATGGCGAGCTCTCTCTTCCTACGTCTTCCACAGGAATTACACGTTCTTATCGGTGACAACCTCAAACAAGATGGTAGCCTCAACGCCCTAGCAGCGCTCTCTAGGACCTCAAGGTGTCTCCGTTCGTCCTACGAACCAACGCTATATCAGGGGCTCGTACCTGAGAGTGACGACAACGACAACCCGGCATGCCAGCATGCTCTAATATGGGGAGCTCGCCACAATTCCATACCCGTCATGGCACAGGCGAAAGCGTACGGAGCCGACCTTGACAAACAAGTCAAGTATGCCATTGGCCGGGTGGACTGGGTAACCTGGAGTGGCCCTTATAATCCCAACGCACCACCACCTATTGTCTATGCGTGGGGCTCAGCACTGCAGCTTGCCGTCCACGACGGGCATGACGATGCCGTGCAGTGGCTTCTTGACCAGGGAGCCGAACTCGACGACGTTGATAATCCTTCTGTCGACGTTTGCCGCTGCTGCGAGAGACACGGCGCTCCGACAGGAAACCGCTCGATTCTGCATCTGGCAACCTGCGCTGGGCACGTCTCGACGCTGCGGGCTCTACTAGAACGCGGAGCTTCTCTCGACGTGGCAGAGGAAATTGACCGTGAACACGCCCTCCACGCCACCCTTTCCACCGAGTTGGGCAATAGTAGAAATAATAAATTTGAGCCTTTGGCCATCTTAACAGCGCTCCTCGACCACTTGGCCCTGGGCATCACCGCTGAAAGCGCGAAATCCGCCGCCCTAAACTCGGTCAACAAAGGTGGGCTCACCCTCCTTCAGATGGCCATTGAATACAACCACATTCCCGTTATGGAACAAGCTCTCCATGCGCTAGTTGGCGCAGGCGCCAGCCTCGGACCCCTTCCACCCACCGCCCAAGGGACCGAAGGAGGTAGAAGATGCATGACCCCCTTGCTCCACACGCTGCTGGAAGACCGTGGCTTCGAAACCATTCACCAACTGCTCGACCTCGGCGCGGACATCAACGGCGACCGACCTGACCCAGTCCAGACTCAGCCACAGTGGCAAAGCCCTTTGCACTTTCTGGTCAGACACCTGGACCAAGGAGCGATAAAGCCCGGCGCCCCGCTTTACCGTGGGGACCTCTCCCTTTTATACGAAAGCGAAGATCAAGGCCGCTGGCATAGAGGAGATGTAGTGGATCTGCTTCGTCGTGGCGCGTCTCTGGACATCCAAGATGCCCAAGGACGAACACCCTTGGGAAGTGCCATGTCCTATGGCGGGGGACATCTCTCTCTGCACCGGAGACTGGGGGCGTTGAAGATGGTCAAGGTCATGTTGAAGAATGTCGTCCCAGGACAGCCGGGGTCCGAGGGTGGAGTTTCAGAGGAATCGATAACCAAAGCAAAGGAGTGGATGGGGGCGACGGTAGTGGAGAGGGCCCGAGGGCCCGAGCACGGTGAGTTGACACCAGGACCGGACCCTTGGGGCCGAGGGTTCATTGTGCAGAGGGGTTCGTGGGAAGGGCGAGAGAGGATACTGTCAGCGCTGGAAACAAGTCAAATACAAATAAATATGGATCTGTATTTATTTGAGTGGGTCAAATACGTGTTTATATTTATTTGTATTTATTTGTATTTATTTACTTGCCCATATTTGCCAAGACCGCGGGTGCACTGCTAACCCTTACCCTGACCCCGGTCATCCGTCCAAAGTCCGGTCCGCGGGCAAAATGGAAACATTTTTGTCACCCAAAAAGATTCTGCCGTCCGCCAAGAAAGGCGGTCAAATAGCCAAATCAAATATGGACATCGTATTTATTTGGGTCAAATATCCGGACATGTGTATTTATTTATTTATTTATTTGTATTTATTTGTATTTGAGTTTGTATTTGGGTTATTTCCAGCGCTGGATACTGTTGAAGTGGGCGGAATAGGAAAGGGATCGGGGGGAGGTTAGGTAGGACGAGGCCGTGGGGTGGACGGTCTTCTCAGGTACATGGGTTTGTAGGCCTATTCATTTGCAGACGTCAGCTCGGGTGCTTAAGATCTGGAGAAGAGGCGCAAACCCCGACAAGCGGCAATAGCACAAAGAGATGAAAGTAGATGGGCCAATAGGAGCAAAAGGAGAGATGCTTGAAGACTACGGGTTCGTGAGTGCACAAAGACGATTGTCACTAGGATTGGAAACTTACTCAGACAACTTTCAACGTGACTTTCTATTCTCAACTCTCTCTTTGTTTATTTTCTATGTCTTTCTCTTAGCGTATCCAAATCAACCATGTGCTCTCACGGTCTCACCTACCTTATCGTACAATTCAAGCTCCCTGACTTGCTCAGATCAGTAGCACGTGTCTCTGACCAGGGAACAGATGGGGCTCAACTCACCTAGAACCACGTTACTATCCTCCTGGTTCGCTCTGGGGCGTTCTTCCTAGAACAGGTAGAGCGAAGGATCTGTAAGGTGAATCTTCAACTTACCCACCCACCGCCATTGTGCGTATATTGACATGTCGATGGTCATCCAAGTATCCATGGTACCTTCGGAAAGGTCAGAAGACACAGAATACGACCGCGACCGGCCTCGAGGAATGCCCTCCCATATATCAATGGCGTGGTGTCCATGATGGTGTACATCATGGGCTGAGCAAAAGCCGTGGACATGGTTGTCCTGTGGATAATGCCCATGATAATGTACATCATGGGTTGAGCAGAGGCCGTGGACGTGGTTATCGTGGGGCTGATGAAAACCGCCGAGTTCGTACAAAGGCAGAAGGTGGTCCTCATTGTCGGCAGGAACAAGCGACCGGGGATCACGACTGGGCGCTTTGTCCCAACGGGCGCCATAGCGGATGTGAACTGTTGAACATGTTAGTGTCTTGACAAGGTGCCCCATCAGGAGGCAAAAATAAAAGGCACCCACAATGATGTCCTTTTTGGGATTACTGGTAGCTGGGCCACCTGCCATCCAGTCCTTGACCCACAGTGCAATACCGATTGAACTCGCAACGTGGGCTATGACAGCAGCACTGCTAAAAAGGAAGTAAATGTACACATCTGCCTTGCCGGGCATGAATGGATCAAAAGCCTCACCGACGTCCAAGAACGTGTGCTTCTCGTACGGAGCACCGTGTAAGCGGCTGATAGCACGGATGAACCGGTACAGAGTCATGATGAAGAACATTCCGTTGATGACAGATAACCAAATAAACCACCCTTCGCGGCTCTTGAGGTCTTCGGGGTCAAGCTTGCGCCACATGTCTCTCAGTTCTACAAACCAAATTAGCGCATAGCCGTAAAGTGCCATGGATAGGGTAGCCTTGATAACTGACAACCAGAGGGAGGACTTCTTCATCTGTACGTACCGATTGAAGTTGATAGCCCTCTGGACGGCATTTTCTCCCCTCAGAAAGTCCTCCAAGGTTTTCGGGCCGTACTCGATGTCGTCTGCATTAAATGCTCTCATGATAAAAGAGTCTGCACCTTGTGTATCGGTATGAGTCTCGGACGGTGGGGAAGACCGTCGGGGAGTCGACGACGGGTCGGGGGTAGGTACCGTTGGAGCGTCTGAGGAAGATAGCCGGCGAAGCGAGATGTCACCTTCAGTAGGCGGCGGGAGGAAGGAAAGGGCGGTAGCGAATGAAGCAATGGTGGAGGAAGAGCGACGAAGGTATGTCCTGCTTGGGGCTTGCGGATAGGGGGAATCTATAGTTGAGGGCATGTTGATGGTTGTGGTTGTTGTTAACTGTGGTGTTTGTTTTGTGTGTGACGGTGGTCTGTTTCTCCAGCAACATCCATGTCGGACGGCTCGGGATGATGGGAGTTTATGTAAAAACCGGCTACTCATTGTTCATGGAACAACTCGGTGGCGTGTTCTGGAAACGGAGACCTTGTTCTTGGACATTAGACCGAGATGTGGCATTGTCGAGAATGGCTTTCTGTACGTTCGGGTACCTGACCGTACTGTACAATAGGATGTGTCAGTGAATAATGGGCCGTAACACGCTCAGAAGCTTAATGTCAACAATCACCTTTGTCCTCAACAAAGCGCCCGGGTCCGGGCCGGAGGTTCCGGGTCAAATTGCTGATGGCGTCCATGTCGTGGACTGTGCTGGTATTGTGCGGCCAGAAGTTATTCATTGCAAGAGCGTTGTCTTCATAGTTGACATACGCACTTCTTCTGTATCACTCGCTGAGGGCAGGAAAATGATGCTGGCGGGGAACAGTCGGTGATGTTGGTTGGATTTTTGGAGAGCATGGTCGACGGTCACGTTGAATGGTGTTGAGAAACTTGGGTTGAGGTACAAGTCACCCCGCATTGGAAGAGTCTGCAAAGCAAACAGTTGAGGCAGGAAGCTGAAGAGGTGCGAGTGCGTGACCAGGGGCAGTTCGTCGCCCCTTCCATTTCGAAGTCAAATTGTAGATGAGGAACCCCGCTACCCCGCGGTCCCCGCCGAGCTCGCCTTCTATGAGCCGACATCACTGTGGTTGTCGACCGATGCAGAGGACGGGCCTCATTTTCGCCGAGATCATTGAACAATGACATGAACTCCAGCACCCATGCTTGTGAAAACATGAAGCTGGGTGTGTGATACGAAATGTAAACAAACACTCACGGGTACCCAAGTCCAAAAAAGAAAAAGTGTCGGCAGAACTCCAGGGTTAGGGCTGACCTCGACACTCCCGTCCCCACCATTCACGGCCCTGGCGTCGAATCACCGCGCAGAATAAGATCTTATCAGTTATCACAAGATCTGATCTGATCACGAGTGGAGTCCAAAATCCTCAACGGCATCCGTCCCGGTCACCCGGACACGCCGGCCTAGGCCCAGCAGGGAAAGGTAGGCGAACATGTGCTGATCGGCGCTCCGAATTCTCTTATCGCGGGTCCTCGTGTTTCGTGCTTCATCTTCCCATTTTCTTCTTCAGTCATTCAGTCTGTTTCGCGGCCGCTCATCTTGATTCTTTGCGCGCGGCTTGAGAGTTGAGTGACGAGACTGAAGTCGACTCACGATGCTCACCCGATGAAAGGAAACTCGCTCACAACCACCATCAAAAACTCTGACCACCAGTTTCAGAATCCGAACCGTCCCGACTGGCGACCGGCTTCGGCCACCCTCCCACACCACACCACCACAATGCCTCGCTCCGTCGCTCGCCTGAGCACCCACGACGAGCGAGACGAAGAAGCAGAAGACCACCAAAGCCTCCTCTTCATGCCGCCCACTCCGCTCGAAGGTCCTTCAGCTGCGTCCTCAACCTACTGGTCATCGACCTCCTGCTCGTCATCTTCTTCGTCTGACAATGACTTGCCACCCGTCCAAAACAACAACAGCCATCAAAAACAAAAGCAAACCCACTGGACCCCCATCATCCTAATCCAGCTCATGGTCTTCCTCTCGGCCATGGGCGTCGTCATCTCCTTCGCTCCGCGCACGCGTCTGTTTGAGGATATCATTTGCAGGAAGTATTATGCTATTCATAATAGGACGACCGAGACCACCACCACCACCACAACCACCACCCTTCTTTCCGTCACCACCAACCTAGACCTCAGCCCGGCGCAAGCGCCTTCCGAATCTCAATGCAAAATCGCACCCGTGCAAGACGCCCTCGCCGAGCTTTTCGGATGGCAGATCTTCTTCGACGGCATCCCCGGCTTGTTACTAGCCATGTACTACGGCGTTTTGGCCGACAAAAAGGGTCGCAGTGCGGTGTTGTTTCGGTCCTTGCTGGGTCAAGTCTTAGCAGCGGGTTGGGTTCTCTACGTTGCTTGGCGATGCTCTTCTGCTTCGGCGCTCTCTTCCGGCTCTGGCGCAGGCAGCGACAGCGATGGGATCATTGGCAGCTGGGCACATCTGCTATCGCTCAAAGCCACTTGGTTGAGTTCCTACTTCTTGATCATTGGCGGAGGAAGCACGGTCACGAGCGCGGTGGGTATGATGATTGTCACGGACGCGACGACGGAGGAGAATCGCAGTCGCGTGTTCTTCGCTGCGCTGTCGACGCTGATCACGGCGGAGTTGCTGGGTCCGGCTGCTAGTACGCTGATGATGCGGAAGTGGGGGCTTTGGGTTCCTCTGGGAGTTGGGTTTGGGTGCCTGGTTACGAGCGCTGTTTTGACAGCGAACATGCCGGAGACGATGCATCTCAAGCGGGCCGGGTCTGGAGCAGCTGTCGACCCAGAGGCGTTAATACCCCAGGAAGAGTACGACGACGACACGGAGGCGTCCGTCATCAACGGAGTCAACACAAAGAGGGGCCAGGACGTCAACAAATCCGCCATCCAAGTCTACCGCCACGCCGCCCACACTCTTGCCTACATCTTCCACCACCCTAGCATCTTGTTCGTCGTTCTCGCCTTTTTGGTCGCCGATTACTCGCGCGAGTCGCTAGTTATGCTGATGCAGTTCGTTTCCACGCGCTACCATATCCCCATCGCTCAGGTATGTTATCCTCATCCTTTCTTGGCCCCCCCTTCCCCTCTCCCTGCTAACTAACAAACCCCAGGCAAACCTCCTCAACTCCTTCCGCGCCTTCACCCAACTCTTCATCGTAACCATCCTCCTCCCCTCCATCGACTACCTAATCACCCATCGTCTCGGCGTAGCCGCCCTGCGCAAGGACCTGATCCTGTCTCGCATCTCCTTCTGCTTCGTCACCGCCTGCTTCGGCGTCTTGGTCTGGGCGCCCTCGCTCCGCTACGTCTTTGTCTCTTTGACTCTCTACACCCTCGGTTCTGGATTCTATCCCTTTGGTCGGAGTTTGCTGGCGAGCCTGGTGGAACCGGACATGATTGGAATTCTGTTTACCACGCTCGCCATGATGGATACTGCAGGTAGCTTAATGGCGGGACCGGTAGTGGCTTGGAGCTTTGGTTGGAGTTTGGGGCTGGAGGGGCTGTGGAGGGGACTGCCGTATATGGTGTCTTGTGTACTGTGTGCGGTGGCGACGATATTCTTGATTTTCGGAGTCAGAGCGGACAGGCCTGGTTCTGTGGATGAGACCACGGTCGGGAGGAAGGGCCCGAAGGGAAAGGGCAAAGCCAAGGGGAGGGGGAAGGGGAAGGGGAAGGGGAAGAGTGTTGCAAGGGTCGCTGTGAGGGCTTTGAGAGATGTAGAGGAGGAGGAAGATCAGGAGGAGGGGGAGACACGGCCGTTGTTGGCTGAACGATAACGGGATCTAACGCTGATGGCCAAGGACGATGGCAGACGTGGACGAAAAGCATTGGGAGGCGTTCTGGGGCTTGGGTACGGGAGTCATATGTGTACAATGAGTTATCAGGATTGGATATGGGAGAGGATTTGAAGAATTGGTTGGATATGTTCCTAAGACCTTGACCTGTTCGGAAGCGTCCATATGAATAGCTGACAACGGCGCATCGCATGTGTCTATCGTCAGACCTGGAGCCGAAGCAGCCTCTACAGCCTCCTAACGTGAAAAGCTGCAAACAGTCGCGGGATCAACTGCTACAGCCGTTCGGTACCCGCGGACTATGAATCGTCGGTGGCGACTAGATGAATAAACGACCGTTACGTTGGCGATCCCACTGGTGTTCAAGTACGGCTGACAAATGGAACGTTCAGGCCATGACGCTAACTGCACGTTTCAGGTAGGAAGCGACGGCGCAATTCCCAAGGGCAGTCTCAATGGGTCTGGATAACCAATGCCGCGGTGAGCGCGGAACTCCACCACGTATCCACCTTACAGACCGTCATCGGTTCGGCATCGACAGGCAACCATCGCGGAGTTAGGGCGGGATGATCGACAGGCGGAGTTCGGGAATAAGAAGCTTCGGGAAGTATAAGAAGCTTCGGCATCGCTAGCTGCAATCCCGCATCTCGAGTTCCCCGCGATCTTTTTGAACACCAACGCCCCCCTCAGCAACATCAAACAAAATGGCCGACAACAAGTTCGACCCCGAGTACTTCCAGACCATCCGGCCTTTGATAGCGCTCAAAGAATCCCTCCCGCCTCCCGTCCCCACCACCGACATCGACTCCCTCCGCGCCAACAGTGCCAGCTTCGAGCTCGTCCTCGCCGCCATCCCCGACTCCCCCGACATCACCGAGACCACCTACCAAATCCCTTCCAAGGACGGCACTCTGATCACCCTCTACCGCTTCACCCCGGCGGCGGCGGCGGCAACCCCTGGCCCTCGTGCTGCAGTGCTCCACCACCACGGCGGCGGCTTCATCCAAAACACCGTCGACCAATTCCGCAAAGACATAAAGCGCTACGCGCACGGCAGCGGCCTCACCTTCTACGCCGCCGATTACCGTGTCGCGCCCGAGCACCCTTTCCCCGCCCCCTTTGATGACTGCTACGCCGCCCTGGAATGGCTCCACGCCAATGCCGCTTCGGAGCAGATTGATCCGGCACGCATTGCCCTTTTCGGCATCAGTGCCGGCGCTGGGATTGCTGCGGCCGTTGCCCTCAAGGCGCGTGATGACAAGGTCTCGCCGCCCATCAAGAAGCTGGTGCTGGCGTACCCGATGTTGGATGATAGGACGTATTGGCCCGAGGAGCATCCGTTGAACCCGTACCTGATGTGGACGGGCGCCTTTAACAGGATTGCGTGGGGGGCCTATGCGGGTGCGGATGGCGTGAAGGAGATCTCGCCATATGCTGCGCCGGCAAGGGCGAAGGATTTGTCAGGACTGCCACCAACGTACATCGACTGCGGCGAGCTGGACTTGTTCAGGGACGAAGACGTGGAGTTTGGTGCCAGACTGCTCAAGGCTGGCGTCAGTGTAGAGCTGCACTTGTACCCTGGAGTTCCGCATGCGTTTGAAATGGTGGCAGTGGACATTCGGGTCTCGAAGCTTGCATTCGAGAACAGAGTTCGGGCACTGGAAAATCTGTGAACTGATAAATAATTGTTGGCTAGATATGTATTGAACTCAACTTCCGTCTGTAGCCAGGATTGACCCGGCAAACGTTTTGATAGCATCCTTGAGTGTATATGCTGATCTGCCTTGCGCCCAGAAGTGGCTGGCTCCGGAAACCTCGTGGGCTCGGAAGGAAGAGTGAGGAATGCCCTCCAGGCGTGTGGCCCACGGCCGTAACTTTCGCACAGGCACAAAGCCGTCATTGTCGCCGTAAATGGCGAGCGTAGGGTTTCGTACTAACTTGGCTTCGGCTTCTTCGAGTGAAAGATCAGTCTCAGAATCCGGACCAAGCTCACCCATTGGCGAAGCCGTGGCAGCTGGAGAAGACAAGGATCTGGTAAGACCCTTCCACGATGGCCTTCGAGGAAGCAAGGAGAAGGTCGCGAGGTTGTTGATGAGGCCCTGCAAAGGCGAAACCAGCAAGTAGGCCGGGCGAGCTACCACTCGGTCTGGTACAGAAGGTAAACAATCCTTGGCCGGTTGCTGCTTTGTCTCACGTGTGTCGTGTGCTGCATCCCCACCCACAAAGCTGTGGTCCTTTCCGGAAATACGTCTCTTATGACTCTTTGCCTTGGCCATCAGCTCCGAAACCCCCTTGTGGATTTTCTCTTCGGTATCATGGGAGAAGGACAATCGTGAATGATGGTGTTTTCTGCTGCTTTCTTCTCCCCCGAAACGCATGCCGGTCGGCGAGTGGGACAATGTGTTGGCTTGATGCTCCAGGGCCGCTGCTCTTGCACTTCCCAACGTTGTATTTTGCACCTCTGCAAGGTGCTGAGCTCGGAGTCGTATTTCAGCAGCATGGGAGCTGCAAGCTGGAGTGTCGAATTGGTGGAGTATGGTTTCGAGAGAAGGAAGTTGCATGGTAATCATAGAACCATACGAATAGCCGCCCATTAGGAACAATGATGGCTTGTTGGTATCGTGTGACGCAGAAGGTGTAACGGGTCTAGAGCCACCATGGGGCCCCATGTAATCCGATGCTTCGGCAATTGGGGTCGTCGTCGGAACGGGTTCGAAAACATGTGGTCGGAAGGGATCGAGAAAATGAACGTAATAGGATAGGAAGCCAACGAACGAGGTGTAGTCTGCCTGCTCGGCCTTTGCAGTCCAAGAGGTCCGACCGGCGGAGCCTTGTGCGCCTCTAGGATGACGAGGTATTGTCAGCAAGCTTCGGGATGGCAACTGGGAGTAGGGAGGTAATCCAACCTAAAGTTGAAGGTGCCAACCAAAAAGCCGAGCCTGAGCAGCGTTCCGGCTGCGATGTCTACTACGGGATCGTCATAACAACCTCCGAGAGGCGCATACGGATGAGCGAAGACGGCAGCATGTTTCCGCCATGGTGGTGAGGAGGGCGACGGGTCGAGAGATTGAGGATGGTAAACGCGACAATCGATGGCAAGGCCGTCGTGTAGACTCGGGAGGGTGAAGGAAAGCGTCGGCTCTGGAAGCAGTGATCTTGCCAACCGGGAGGGCTGGTCGTCGGCGTCTGTCATTGCCGAGTGCGCCAAATCGCAGCAGTTCCGAGACTGGCCCGGCGGCGCAATGACGAAAGTAGCGAAGAAAAGAAAAAGAACAGAGTACGACGGGCACGAGCTCCAAAGTCAATTCCGCCTTGTCGTGTAGGTGACTGAAGGCGGGTCCACGCGGTCGCGACTGGTGAGGTTGTTTTCCTTTTCTTCTTTCCTTTTTTTCAGCGGTTGAACTGCACTGAACTGAAGTGGAGAGCGCCTTGCCCGTTCTCGTCACCGGGATCCACTCGGCCCCCCACCCGGAACACGGGAGCTTCCAGCGGACCAGCGTGGAGTGCCGACTTCCTTCCCGGGCCCCGCGCCTCTTTCGTCCAATTCGATATGAGCCCGAACTCCTGACGGACATTTCCAATCGGACGACCTTTCATCGCTCAAAGCCTACGTCTTTCTTGTCCACTTCTTTGTCCTGGGTTCCTGCTTCTGCTGTTTCTTCGCAGTCAGTCTCAACTTGTCAAGCGATCCAATGTTGCTGATTGTGAACAAGAGACAGTAGGTATCTCAAGTCGATCTCATAGAGACAGTCCATTTCCACCCCTTTTCTATGGAATCAATGCTGATTAGTAGGGGTTGGAAAGTTGTTGAGTGAGGTGGTGACGCCTGGATTTCAGTACCCTGGTAGCAACTGCGCTATGGTTGAAGAATGCATGCACGTCATCCACTGGGCGAATGGGAGTTGTGTTGGACAAGTTGCGCTGACATGTGAAAGCCCTCAATTGCTATCCTCCGATTGTCGTATTGTCCCTTCGATTCCAATGCCTCCTAATTGAGTCTAGTTTTCGATATTTATGAAATAAGTGTATGGGTTAACCAGTACATAACGCCATGGCAACAACTCCGCTGAACTGCCTGCTGAATTGAATGAAGCCTTTGCCGAGTCTTCTTCACATTAATCAGCCACGTAAATGATCGCCTTGTTTTAGCGTCAGTGTCAACACCATTGGTCATGTCTTGCTTTATCATCGGCAGCACTAAGGCAAGGGCAGTCACCAAGCCTGGCTGTTCCTGAGGTCATTGGAATGTAACCATTCACATCTCAGCACCTACCCAAGAGGTAAAGATGTAATTCATGCTGAAATTCAGAACATGGACATGCAATATACACGAGGCGTCTATTTCGAGAATTTAGAGTTAGTTGGCCAAGCCGTGTCACCAAGCGGGGATCATGCCCCAGATCTCTGAGGGGGGTGTGGACTGTGTGAACCCGTGAGAAATGCGGTGTGTGTGTTCCCCAGATTCCATTCCGTGTCCCAGACATCCTTTTCGGATCCTTTTCTTCTTGATGATGGATGTTCCCGATGATGGAATGTCCCGATCTGGCTTAGTCAGACACAAATTGCACAATGAGGACCCAGAGGGCCATGGCCCGGGAGTGCGCGCGTGTCCGTCTTGACTGATGACCCCACCAATGCAAGGGTTGCTCCACGATTTGCATTCCCCTGTGTCTGGTCCGGTGGTCCCCCGTGCCCCCCACGTGCCACCTTCCAGCGACCCTTCCAGCCTGTTTCGTCGGGGACAGCGCCCGAAAGGTGTCAGCTGGCCCTTCCCCTTGCGCGCCAAACCCGGGCGCCTGAATTTCTGATGACGGCAGGACGGACCCGGGCAGGAAGGATCCCGGATGCCTTGCTGCAATGAAACTCAACAAACCGATCTCTTGACCGCCAACCTTTTTTCGCTCTCATTCTTTTAGGATTCCCCGTCCGTCTTTCATATCTCCATGTCGAATTCCCAACACAGGCCACTCAGCCATGAACCATTCCCGATTCCCTGGCTTCCAGTCCCATCAGTCGCCAGTACTCCACAACTCGATAACCTAAAAACAACAACTACTGCACGCTACTGCGCCTATAATTCTTCCGCTTACACCACCCTAGAGCCCGAATCTCCCCACCGGCGCTTACAAGCCGACTCCCTTCCGCCACGGCCGGCCTCCGTATCGATACCCGACTCCAACCCTCGCACCGCAGGCACCTACGTAAACATCCGACGCCGTGCTCCGACCGTCCGATCTCCTAATACCGTACTCCAATGACCGACCTCCTCGTCCACGGGCCGCCAGGCATCCGTGTCAGCCCCGGCAGCCCCGAATGCAGTGATTGTGGCACTCAAAAGGGCTCTTCCCAACCCTTGGCTTCGGCACTCAAGAAAAAGAATAACAAGGTCGAAAAGCACGTCGTGTTCCGGCCCCTCTCGAAAGTCATCCGCAGCGCCAGCAACTACGTTCTGTCATGGCGTGACGGCCTCACCCAGTCAGAGAGGGAAAACAAGCGGAGGATCGAGGAGAGGATGCAGTTCCTAGAGGATGTCATGCACAATGTTTGTCCAACTGTTCACAAGTCATGCTGGTCCACGTCACACCTCCGACAATGCTGACCATTCTTCTGTAACATACAGGCCACCAGCGCAGAGGAATGGGAAACGGCCGCCAAGGAACTCGACCACCTCGAAGGCAACGACGCGTGGAAACTCGATCCCTCGACCGGCGACTACCACCCCGACATCATCGAGACCAAGCTACGAGACCTGGATCATGATCGGGAAAATGGCGACACAAGGGAAATGATGTATCTGGTCCGCACGGCCCTCTCACGCGACCTCGGTGGAATGGGCAACATCGACTTGTACCGCCATTCGTATGTCGGGACTAAGAAATTGATCGAGGATTATGTTGACTCGGCCGTCAAATCAATTGACGCACTGGTGGACCAAAGCACCCAAACATTGCCTGCCGACATGGAGGCCAAGGATCTGCTGGAGGGCATGTTGTACGCAAGACAGAGCTTTGGGAGGAGCGCCCTTCTTCTGAGTGGAGGAGCTACTTTTGGCATGTCGCATATTGGGGTCATCAAGTCCCTATTCGAAGCGAATCTTTTGCCTCGCATCATCTCGGGCGCCTCTGCTGGTTCCATTGTGTGCTCTATCCTTTGCACTAGGAAGGACGAGGAGATACCCGATTTGATCCAGACCTTTCCTTATGGCGATCTCGACGTCTTCGAGGGCCCCAACGACGGCATCTCCGACAGTCTGCGCAGACTTTTCACCCAAGGGAGCTGGGCCGACATAACGAACCTTACCCGAGTGATGCGATCCCTGCTTGGCGACTTAACGTTTCAGGAGGCCTACAACCGGACACGAAGGATATGCAACATTTGCGTCTCGACCGCCTCTATTTACGAGCTACCTCGGTTGCTCAACTACATTACGGCTCCGAATGTCATGATCTGGTCCGCAGTGGCCGCTTCCTGCTCCGTCCCGCTCGTTTTCCAAGCAGCCCCGTTGCTGGTCAAGGATCCTACGACCGGCGCCCATGTTCCGTGGAACCCAACACCGCAACGTTGGATTGATGGCTCCGTGGACAACGACCTACCGATGACCCGTCTCGCCGAGATGTTCAATGTCAACCACTTTATCGTTTCCCAGGTCAACCCCCATATCGTTCCCTTTCTCTCTAAAGATGACAGGTTATATCCTCGGAACCATCCCGGCCGCCTTCGCCAACAAAAGGCTGCCGCACAAGAAAACAACAGCGAGTGGCTCTATTACCTTACCACTCTTGCCAAAGATGAGGCCGTCCACCGACTGCATTTTCTGACTGAGTTTGGCATCTTTCCCGGTCTTCTGACGAAGCTCCGGTCTATCCTTAGCCAGCGATATTCTGGGGACATTACCATTTTGCCAGAACTTGAAATGCAAGACCTCCCTCGCATTCTCAAGAACCCAACATCTGAGTTCATGATCCGAAACTGTCTCATAGGTGAACGAGCAACCTGGCCGAAACTGAGCCGGATTCGAGACAGGCTAGCCATCGAGCTGGCCTTGGACCAGGCCGTCCACGCCCTGCGGGCCCGCGTCGTCTTTGGTAAGAGCCAAGTCGACCTCCGTCGCATCAGTGGCGCCACTCTCGGCCCAGCTGGCCAGCCCACCCCTGGCTTCCTGCGCCCTCCGTCCTCCGGAGAAGCCACGCCTGGCGAGCATCAGCATCATCGCACCCGGCATCATCACCGCAGAAGCTCTGCTAGCAGCGTCCAGATCCTCGCCTCTCGACACAGAAAGATGTACCAAAACCATGACGACGACTACCTAACTGATGACCAATCCGAAGAGGACGAGCGTCTGGAGATGAGCTACCATAGAGGTGCCCACACTCGCCCTGGGAGCGTCACTCCGCACGCCCGAGCGCCGGTTGCCCACACCCTCGCCAAGCCGCGGTTGCAGAGGTCCGCTAGGAGCGCAAGCCACATGTGGGAAGGGAGACCTTGGTCCCAGGGTCACGCGCATCCTCACCATACCCATGGTCATAGCCATGGCCTCCATCAGGCATCGCATACCTTGCAGCAACTCGTTCAGCACGGCTCGGGAGGAGACGAACCACCCTTTGACTTTTCCAGACCTTTGTCACCGCCCACGAGTCATGCGGGGAATTGTTCGACTGTGGGGGTTGACGAGATGGCCGGGGAACAGAATGTGAGGCACTCGGATGCGGATGATGAGATTCAGAGTGATTCTGTGTAGGCAGAGGGCTTGGCAGGGGGGTTCCAGTGGATAGCTGCTATCGAGTTAATGAGAACATGTTATGCAGTATTGGTTCGTTCGGAGGACGGCGTATCGGGATTGAGAGTGGGAGGAGTTGCGGAAGTCCACGAAAGAGACATGACACGGAGATTGCATGAGGCTGAGTGACACTGTAGAACTTTTGCATTGGTATCATTGTTATTTTGGGATACCCGAGCACATCAGTATCGACAGCGAGAAAAAGAGCCATCGAGAATACACTATTCGTTCAGTTCGTTTCCACGAGTCCTGTGCTCATCATCCGCATCATTGTTCCTATCACAATTCCACAATCGAGAACCTGGGGACGACAAGCACTTATAGGATCACGAAGACCCCAAGCGGTAATACCAACAGACCTAACCTCATGGAGGCACCCCTTAGCACTCTGGACCAGACCTACTCCGAACTGTCCCGAACCTCACAAAGACACAATAAATTGCCTAGGTACCGATCGGAAATACCTTCACAAGATTTAACATGACGTATTCAACATCGGAATCAGCATATTCTGGATGAGACGAGCCTTCGAAGATGGAACGAAAGGCATTAATTAGATATTAAAACACCTAAAGGAGTTGACGCGAGGTCTCGAGCTGCAAACAAACTAATATTGAACTGACGGCCCATCGAAATATCTTCGACTTCTGAACTTTCGTCGCTTAGCGACTTTGAGCCCAGCGACTAGCGCAGCGATTATAGAGAGCGATCAATTTACTGCATTTTTGCACTCAACACCATGAAATATCACCAAATTTGCGTCATGGGGAGGCACAGAATCACAGTGAGAATCACATGGGGAAGGGTAATTCAGACGGTAATGTGACAGATATTGATTACAGGTAAAAATACAGCTAAAACCCCCTATTTCACATGACAGCTAACATATGAACAGAAAGGGTACGTGTAGATCTCAGCGCTAGAAATAACTCAACTTACTCGACTCGACTCGACTCAACTTAATTCAATTCGACTTAATTCAAAGATTTTGACTGGAGTTGCAATTCAACTTGGGACCCTCGAATTGAATTACTGAATTGGCCGCCTTTCTTAGCACCCGGCAAAATCCTTAGGTTAGGGTTCAAAGTATAAAAATACATAATTTTTACCCTTAAAAGATTAACCCACCCCAACCCCAAAAGTATACCCTCGGCCATCCATCGAATTATACCCGCTCAAATAGCCAGTATAGCCGCCCAAACTACCCAGATTAGTGAAATTTTTAGTATTTCTAGATTGCAATCGAAATTGAGCATTTTAAAATTATATTGCCAACCTTTTCCCCTAGTTAATTGGACGCTACCAAACCGCCTCCAATATTCTCAATCGCTTTCGATATATTCTTAATAACTATTAATCTCTCTCTCCCTTATTGTTAATTAGTATTAACCTCTATTTAACGTTATTAATACCGCTGTTATAATACCCGTCGTTTACAACCCTAAAACCTCCTCCACCGCGGACAACCCGCCGACCGTCTCCCTTAAAGATTCGCCCGCTTTAATTATTACCTTCGTAGCGTTCAATAATAACCGCCGTATCTTTATTAGGGAGCAAATTAACTTATTTAAAGCGATATACCCGGACGACTTACCTGCGAAAATATTTTAAGTCCCGAAGCTCAAGTAATAAGATGGAACGTTTATATTAAAATTATAACTATAGTAGCATTATAAAAGAAATTCGTAGATTAGCGATTATAGTACGTACTTAATTAAAATATTTAGCGATATCGAAGTTATAAATTATTAATATTATAATTTCTATAATAAGGTTTATATTCTATTCGCTACGTCCTCTACTGTAAGCTACCTTCGTTGCGTTTACAAATTTAAGGAATTATCTAACCGTAATACCGCCGACGAATTACCTTTTAAACGGCCTAAATCGGTAACTGACCTCCTCAAATAATAATTTACCCCTATTATAAAGCTAATTAGCAAAACTTTCTACAAATTATTAGTAAAAATAATTGTATTATCGAAATTACTTTTAACCTTTATTAAAAATTCTATATTTTATAAATTAATAAGGTTAATAAATCGTAATATAGCCGATACGTTATTTCTTAAATTATATTATATTTTATTGACCTAGATAAAAAGCAAATATTAATTCTATTTCGGGTTTTTGAAAGAAAAGTTAGTTAATTCGTACTTTTAAAAGTACTTCTCTTTCGATTTTTAAACTTTGCCTAACGGCTTCGTGTCAAGATTGTAGTGGAAGGTAGGTTAAAGTGCCTACGGATAGCGCAAGCACGTAGGGGACGTTAAGGTAGGGGGAGGATTAAAGATATATTAATAGTTAACCCCGACAATTCTAGAGGCGAGTTCGACCGGCTATTTATATTGTTGTAAACTCTATTTTATAGTGGCTAAGTCCGCGACGGCTCCGAACCGTTCCGACGCTATACTTAATCGCTATATTATACGGATATCTGCGCTCCTTAGTATTAGTACGGGTCTAACGCCTAATAAGTCCCTAACGATCTAATATAACCCTCCTTCTCCTAAGTTTCTATTTTAGAAATTTATAAATACTTTACGTCAGTAGCCTCCCTACCGGCGCTCTTCCGCTACTATTCCTCCGTAATTTACTTTTATAACCGAATATATTATTATTAAAACGTTATCCTCTTTATTTTCTTTTATTTTTATATCAATATTAATTTACTATCTAATATTTATTAATTCAATGTCCCCGCCGGCTTTACTCGCTTTTTACCTACCGTTTATTATCTTTTTATTTTCTACCGGTCGCTATCTTAAATTTAAATTAATTGCCCTCCATTTTATTATATTTTACTATTTTAGGCCTAAATTGACCGCCTTCCGGTTTATTATATTTTGCCCCCCCGTTACTATTTTAACGCTTATTGGCCGTCCTTTCGTCCTAAATTATCTTCTTCGCCTTTCTTCCATTCCTTTTTACTGCTTTCTTCTATTACCTTTCCTACCCTATTATTTAGAATTAGCCTATTTAAAAGTTTTTAATAATACCCGTATTTTCGTACTTTAGTTATTTACCCCGATTCCACCCTATTTTATATTTTTAATTCTAATTATAAAAATCTTTCCTCCTTCCCCTCTTTTCCTCATACTCTTTTTCTTCCATCCTTTGTACGCGTTTATATATTTACTTATATTATAATTATAATTATTTTCCCAAATTCCGTTAATTAATATACCTTTTATGATTTAGCCCTTTTTATTAGGCCCGACCGCCCTTAACTTTAATAAACGCTTTTCCTTTCTACTTTATATTTCCTATATTAATTATTTAATAATACTATTTATAATCCGTTTTATATTATCTTTTTTTTAGGAGGCTACGACCGCCGTCGCGAATTTACCCCCTAATATTATTAACGTCGCTATAATCCTAACTATAAATTACTTTGTTTATATTTAATAAAGTCTATTGAATTCCTATTCCTTTTTTATTAATATTAGCGCTAATAAAATTATTTTTGTAAATAATAATATATATTTAGCGTATCCTAAAACTTTAAACCGGCGCTTTTATAATTTCCTTTTAATCCTTTATAATTACACAGTCTCATTTTAGAGAAAAATAATTGCTATTTACGTAGGAAATATAAATAGTATTGCGCTTACCCTCGTTATTATTTTCTATAATTCCGTTAATATTTTAATAATTAGAATCTATATCCTTTGCGAACGCCTTTATATTTTTCCTTGAATACTTTCTAAATTTTATAGCTGCCACTTTAACGAATAAATGAAGCGTTACGACTTTTACTATCCTATTAATACTTACCCTATTAATTAAATTACCCTTATTATTATTTTTATTTTCGATAGCGAATAATTCGATATTATAATTCCCGCTCTCCTAATAGCTCCCGCTACCCCTATAAATATAATTAGTCTAATTAATATCTTTTAAATTATATATTCGGCCTATATTAATATTTATTACTTATTACTTATTAAAATATCCCTGTAACCCTACGATAGGAACGTATTAATATTAGCAGCTAATAATATAATAATAGACGAAGGTAAGATTTAAATTTAAATTATTTATTAATAGGCGTAGTAGTTACGCGGGAAAATTTAATTTTTAAGAAGATAAGTTCGATGTTTATATTAATATATAATTTGGGTTCGAATTCGAAGATTAGATGAGGCAGTTATTACAATATTTAGCCTTTTATTTTTATAATTTTCTAATTTTACTTTCATTAACAATATTATTATTTAAGGGGAAGAATATTAATTTAATAGATAATCGATAATTAGATACTAGCGTACTACTACGTTTCCAAGTTCGTTATCCTTTATAATTCTTTAATTAATTCCTCCTCCCTTCATTTATACGCTATCGCTCGCCTTCTTAATATAATTCCCCTAATTCTAATCTAATACGTTAAATATTTTATATATTATAATTATTTCATATTCTATATGTTATAATCATTTAATATTCTATACATTATAATTATTTAATATTTTAAATATATTATAATTACTAATATTCTATAATTATTAATACATTATAATTATTAATTGTTTTAACTTCTTTTTATTAACTTATTTAATTTACTTTTATTAATTTAATTACTGGGCCCCCTTCGGCCTTCCTCCTTTACAACTTCTTCACTTTATACACCTTTAATAATTCCGGGCAATTTAAATCCTTTTATAATATTTATTCGTTATTATTATCCGAATACCCCTTCTACTTTACCTAATATTATTAGTTCGTTCCCAACCTTTAATATTTTATAATTATTTTTACTTTATACTATACGAAATCTACTACTTTTGGGTCGCTATAATATAATTCTAATAAAGTAATAGGGTATACCGGGTAAAAATAATAATATTCCGGAAGGATAAAACGGTAAACTATCTTTTTGTCGCTAACAATTTTAATAATTTAGAAAGGCCCTAAGAATTTATTTACTAACTTAACGCTAGGTTTCTAGTATTTTATATTCTTCGTATTAAGGAG